ATAACTAAATTCAACAGTCAATAGTCTGATAGATTAGTTTGTTGTGTAGTGTTTAGTGATGGCTAGATAATATTAACCAAGTTGTAGTAAAATCTAAACAGTTCAGCATTAGTTTCAATAGTTGAAATCATGAGTCAATTGAAGCCAGATCACCATGGAAAACCTGGAAGCACTGGACAGCCACTTCGTCCCAGTATGGGACTCCTCAGCAGTGCACATCCACGATCCCCCCCGCGAGATTCCAACTCGGGACTTATTAGTCTCGCGCGCGAGCGCTTAACCACTAGACCACTGAGCTGGCCGCCATCCAACGATGTTAGTGTCTAACTTCGACCAATCCACGGAATTGCACCACCGTACATCATTGTCTACAGTGAGCTGATATCTCACAATAGACCTGGTTTAACTCCACTGGTCATTGCTTCTCACTAGAACTCCAGGAAATGCCTCTTGAAGTCAGTCACTAGTCAGATAATTATTATCAGAAGGGGTTTTGTGGAGATTTTAGAAATTTCAATAGTTGAAATCATGAGTCAATTGAAGCTAGACCACGATGGAAAACCTGGAGGCACATGAAATCTCCACAAAACCCCTTCTGACAAGTTCAACATTAGGTTAAGATTTTGTCTGAATTTAGGTTACTGTTTACAGTTAATAGCAGGCCCTATATATTTAGGTTTCGTGCTAACTGGTCAGTAAAATACACCTTTTCTAGCAAGACCTAACTAGAAAAGAACTTGGGTATGAAGATTTTTGTTAATCATTTTTAATTATTTAACACCAAACACTAAGCTTATAAGTTGTTAGGAGTAGTTAAAACTCAAAGAGGAAATAATCATAGGATCATTTAAGACATAGTTCAAATCTAGACAGAATTGTAAATGAGAATATTAGTCTATGAATTCAAACGATAAAGTATGTTGTCGGTGTTTGTATTCTACAAAGTCACTGAGGTTTAATAGCTATCACTGAGGAAATAATAAGTAACTTTATAAAGGTTACATAAGCTTATCAGATAGCTTGAAAAAAGAGATGACAAATATATATTACCATCACCAAAATTAACTCATTTATCAGGTAATTAGGTGTAAGCCACACTCCAAGTGTGAGGGTTAATTATACTGCCAAGTTGGCTAGAAAGTAGTAAGAAGAGCGGGGTTCGGAATTGGGACCTAAAGATCAGAAGTCAAATGCTTTACCCATTGAGCGACAACTCAGAATGCAAACTGAGTCGTTGAAATTTTCTTTCCAAAAGTAGATATATCGATGGAAGCTTATCAGTAAGCTTAGTAGTTATATGTATCTAGTCTGGTTTTAATGTTAACCGATTACCTCGAATATAGTTGTACATAGTCGGCTTTGAGCTACATGTTTTTAAATAAGGGTTAGAAATAGTGTCGTGAAATGCAAATCTAGTTACTTATATGTACTCGAAGTCGAGTCATGAATCATACTGTCTACAAACTATGGACCAAATGAAGCTAAAATCATTTCTTGACAATTTCTTTCAGTAATTCATCTATAAGTACAGAAACAGATGAGTAAAGTAATATTATGTCTTCTTAGGAACATGACTGAAATTCCGTCTAAAAATATAACCAACAGAACACAATTTATCTCAGATAACTGATAGATTGTTATTGATTGAAATTAGACATATGGATTATTGGTTGGTGGTTTCATGGCCTAAGAGCTGATACGCTTAGTGTGAGACATGGAGGTTTTGGGTTCGACCCCGGTGGGGCATAGAATACGTGCCGTTGAGGAGTCCCAATGCTAGGACGAAACAGTTACCGAGTGTTTCCTAGTTTTCACTGATTATCAAACTAAGATCAGTTCATGATGCAAACTATAACACATGTTCAATTGTGGAACAGTATTGAAATTTTAACATGATATTAGAAAATCTTTATAGCTCAGAAAAGGTCTATTATTACAGGTAAAATGTTAAAAGAAATATGCTGAAAATAATAAATGAAAACGAATTCGGATTCTTTTAGGAAATTCTTAAACAGTAGAAATGCATTTAAATGTAATTCGAGCAGCATTATGGTTAAGTAATAATGAGATTATAAGAACTAATCTAATAAACGAGTTTGTACGATATGTAAAGTAGTCTCTTAAGTGTGCATTCAGAGCACCTGTATAAATTTTATTTGTATCAATTTAATTTCTTTTCCCTAACTGGGTTAATTTTAACCCAATTATGTTGTTCAACTGTGTAATCGGTTATTTCTATTATTAGTATAATTACTTGTAATGTACCCTTCAATACTTTGTACAAATAAAGTTTCAGCATACTAAGTATTGGTTAAAACCACTATGGATATTATATTGAATGTTTTCTCTCGCATGAGAAATTTTAGGCTTGATTTGTCAGGAACCTCCCAAATTTTAGTGTTGTATCCAGCAGTTTCAGTAATTTCGTTCATTTAATGGGTAAGTACTGAAGGTTACGATTGTAAATTTCATTTCAAGCTCCAACTTTCATTAAAGTTGTACTCTCTTGTATGTGGGAGTCGAACTGTTGGATACAAGTTCAGTGGTCTAGAGGTTAAGCATTCGTGCGTGGGGTAGTGGGCGTGCACTAATGAGGAGTCCCACGCCAGGACAAAACGGCCTTACAGGTCTGCAATAGTGGTCTGATTTCAGTGGTAGTTATATCTTTCTGAGATGAACTGTTCGGTGAAATCATATCTTAATATATGTCACTGAGCAAGTGGACGGAAAAATGATTGGAAGCACTGGGTAAGATGTACTTAGTGAACATAGGAAACGTGGATAAACTTAGTCAAGTTTTCTATCCAGTTTCAAACATACATCTTGACTCTATTAAATAAAGCACTAATAACCTTTTTTGAAGCCTTATTATTCACTGTAACTTGAATTGTTTGTAGCTTATTGAAACCCAGAAAAGTAAAATGAATTCATTTCTCCACTTGCAAACGTTATTGTTTTTGATCTAATAAAAATTATTAGAAGAAAGAACTGTATGAAGGCTTAACGACTATTTAGTTTTTCTTTAAGCTTGCAGATTTGCAAAAGAAGCTATTGCTAAGAAAACGACAAATCCAGCATTAGGTGACCGGAGAAAGTTACGAAATCCCTAGGTTTTCAATAAACTGAGACTCGTCAACAAAGGGTATCTGAAATCTTCAGTAAACTGATGCGCCCGGTGAGACAATGAATCATAGTACTCAATGTCAAAATTAGAGACAGACTGATAGGCATATAGTAACTGGCTAGATAAAATTTAATTAGCATTAAGTAAACAAACATTACATGGGTTACCACTCCGCGATTAATATATGTAAATAAGATGGGAGAGTAGATTGAAGGAAAGGTAAGTGATACGGTAGATCTATCGCAAAAGTGCAGACGTACTCGTTCTTCAGTTCTCTCCAAAGCTTGAGTTTTATACTCTAATCCCTTGTTCCATTTCTTTTTTAACTGTATAATATGTACTATTATTAGTAAGGGTTTAAATAATCCTATATTACTATTCAGGACTGAATTTCGATCAGTCTTTTCTGGCATATATACTTCCTGGGAGTATTGCCTCGATACATTTAGAGTGAAAGGAATTGAATTCTTATCTCAACGGGAATATCAACACTGACATACAGGCACATTCAAATGACTAGTGGCAAATAAAAAAAACGCGCATCTTGATTTCCACTATAAGCAACAATCCGTATATCCTATAAAAGCATCAATCTCTACGTTTAGCCTTTCTTATTAACACTGGAACTACTATTATGTCAATACCTTCGCTATCCATATTGTTAGTCTCATCCCATTACGCTGTGATGTGAAATTGAGCCGATAGGTATTTTCCCCAGGTTTTACCTTGATTATGTCTGAGTTCTTAAAAGGATAATGATCTGTTGGGGAAACTCAAAATTTAGTTGTTTTTATATTTCAAAACTAAACATTGTGGCTCTAAGGTACCTATCAAATAGTTAAAATATGAACGATCATTTTACTGGAATCCAACTTATTGATAACAAAACATTAAAATGTTCAACATTATTCAAACAAAAATAGTTGCATTGCCAAAAGAGTAATAATATTTTATAATTTAAGTGTATACGATAACCTACAATTCACTTTTTGTCTTCCCTTGGATCATAAGTTTTTAAATCCCTCACAAATTTCTCTCGCCATTTTACTGATTTATATTTTCTTTTAAAATTGTGTCTTCGGTGCCTAATTCATCCTGTTACTGCTAATACGGTTATTATCTATACTACTCTGGGATCTTCTCTGACAATTTCATCTCGCTGTGCTAATGAAGTATGAGAACTTAAAAAGATGTATACATGTTCCAGGTCCCACGTTGCGCTTGACTGACTGAGAGTTTGTTCTGTAAGAGTACATCTATGAATCAACATCTTCATTCAAACAATTTTTTTAAATACTTCATCTCAGGTTCCGTGTTAATATTAACGTATTTCAGAGGTTAACTGAATATGGATATCATATCTTATAATTTGAATGGTACACATAATGACCTCTAAGTTGTATAATGCACTTGGACATTAATTTTTTGGAAACAATCGTAACATAAACGCATAACTATCCGTCACGAATTTGAATAGACACCATGCAGTAATGCAATTACATGTTATTGTACAGCTAATCAAATAATCATTTATGAAACGATATATATATGATTCGTTCTTTAGGAGGATGATCGAGTTGTACATGTATGCTCTGCTAATGGACAAATTAAGTTAAATAGGACAGAACCAAATAACCTATAGTTTCATAATAAACAGATGGTGTAACAAATCAGATGAAAATGTGGTATATCAATAAATGTAACCTAACGGAACCAAAAAAATAACAATGAAAAATATCAACATGCCAATTAAAAACTGACTATTACAGTAAAATGCAGAAGGAGCAAGTTTCAGAAAATAATGTTTCTTTTATTTAATTTTTCTGATATTACTATTATATACAATATACATAAAGTTATCTTAAGATGATGATAACTAATGAGGTTGTGGAATATGTCCATCAACATAGAAATTTCTTGTAGCCTTTGGCAAAGTGATTGTTATTCCATTTAGTTCTTTGGTCAGCATTATTTGGCAGGCTAAATGAAATAGATAATAAAACTCTTTATTTAAACGCAAGATGAAAGAGTTGCACACAAAGATATACTAACTCTATAAGATCAATTTAAATATACGCATTTAAATTTAAATAACTGTATAATTAAAATGTTAGATAGTAAAGAGGCTTGGAAACCGAGTATAATTAGCAGAACTATGCGCAACGATCTAAAACTATTGTATGAATGTCGGTCGAAGCGAAATTAAACTCGACATGTCCTTGAGATCAATAAATTTAGCCATATGTAAACTCAGTCCTTGGTCACCAACTAGAAACTAGAGCTAACCTGTAAACATTTGATAGGTTGCTAAACTGCTAACACAGCACTAATTAAAGATATCCCTGTGAATATTCATTTGCAAGTAGTGACAGCTATCATTCAATACTCAGGAGGTTGCTTTATACCTAGAATTCAGCCCAAAATCTTGTTAAGTTAATGCACTAAAATAATCTTAACTACATTTAAGGATCAATAATACACAGACTATGAGTGAAACATCGCGACCATTAGTCGCCAACATATCTGTCGCGAGACTGAAGGCAGAACTAGTAATATTTGAAATTAGTAGGATGGGATTTTATACAAGACATTTTCATAACATTTCCGCGTTATGAATGGTCAGATATATTATTTAAGTAATCTATTTAAGCACATTTCACATGGTCTTCTTAATGACACCAAATTTGAAGTGGAGAACTGAAGCACAAACCAACTATATTTTCTAGATGAATGTTTTAAAAAAGAGAATAAATGTCGTCAGGAGTTTACTTATCAGCTATTATACCTCTTTTAATAAGCAATAGGCAAACAAACGAAACAGAACACTAATAACCCAATATTTATGTACCATGCTGTTGAATGGGAGCTAAAGTGGACTTATGGAAGCTGACTAGCATTAAATATTGATTACCAGCAATATTACTCAAGGATAAGAAGATAAACAGAATTATTATCCTCATAGGAGACCAATAGCACATTCTTTATCAGATTAGACAGGCACTCCATTTATTCTGCACGTATGTTAAAGTAAACTAGATGATATATATCACTACTTGTACAAATAAACCTATTTGTATGATTCTACGCATACAATAATTAAAGAGTAACCCTCAGTAAGGTGTCTGTTATCTGTTTAACATCGGTTATAAGATAACCATAAAAAACCTAGAAAAAATTAGTAATAATTAGAGGGATAGGAAGTCACGTGAAAATAAGACCTGTGTTGTTGATGAAGCAGTAGGTTAGAAGAAAGCTAGCAGTGACCGAACCAAGACATGGCATCAGTAGATGAGGTCAGTAGCTGTTAGTCTGAACCATGTTGGTAAATGTAGATTACCTGGTTGAAATCTGCTTGAAGACTGGGTGATTTGGCTCAGAATCGCTCATCATAGGGCAGATGCACCCACAATTTATCTTTTTGTCGATTGGGAATTTCAGTGTTCCTTCACACAAACCCTTCAATTCTGTCTTTCCGAATTATACGCATATTGTTACGTCCTCACTATTAATGACATTACATTATCTTAATCTCTTATCATTCATGGTGCTATTTTTGTCTAGTTGTGCTAATGTAGTATGGCAACTAGGGCCGGCGCATATGTCTCAGATTTTAAGTTGGTAATGACTGACTGTCTGAAAATATTGCACTTATATTTCAAGAAAAAAATCTAGTTACACAACATGACTTTTTTTTACAGTAAAATAAAGTCAATAACCCAATATTTTATTGATATTTACGTTGACCTGGTTGTATTGTCATGGTATTTTTCTTTAATTCGATTATTTGAACTTGGATAACTTTTATTATATTAGTACAGTAAACAGCACTTTCATATATTCCTAAAATTTTTAACGTAATTTAATAACCAAGACCAGGTTTATATAATGGAGTTTAAAGCTGGTGACACAAGGCTACTCAAAAGAAAGTGGAGCGATGTTTGGATTTGTAGTCCAGTAGTTAAGAGTTAATATTTTTAGAAATTAACTATGCTATCACTATACGTATTATTACCAGTTTTAGAACTTTCTTCCCAACAACAGCAAACATCTGATATATTGAGCTCATTGAACCAAACAAGTTTTGACACTTTCGGTTTATTTCAATAATCTTATTTACACTCGAATTTGTTTGTACCTTGAAGATAGTTGTTGGGTGAATTAAGTTTACTTAATTCTGCTAATTAGACTTCGCTTGTCTTCACAAAATATATATTGAGTTACGTGTATACAAAAAACAGAACTGATGAAGTAACCCAACATTCAGTAATGTTGTCTTTACTATATTACCGCGTGATTATTAATTATTTACATGCATTTATATACTACAAGATAACTGCTAGTGTGAAAATATCGTTAAACTTTTGATCTTGCAACAAAGTCTCTATGTACACAACAAGTATGGAAATATCTTTGATTGCCAAAATCCTAAATAGTTAAATTTGAGGCCGTAGGTTTCAAAAAATGTCACAACTTAAGTGTATTATTAGGTGGTAATAACAGTGGTCAGACGAATTTTTATTCGTGCAGACAATGTAATCAGAAAGACAAATATGAAACAACCCGAACCACTATTGGGAAAAAGGATATTTACGTGTAACTTACATAACCTAGAGTTTTCTTGTAGGAAAACAGCTAAATCTAACATATCTTCCTCCCCCTCAGAAGCAGGTGGGAGCAGATCATAAAATTTTTGATCAATATAGACATGGCAAGTGGAACATGCCAGAGAACCCTCACAAGCTCCCTCTATTTCAATATTATGCCGGCGGGCCAGTACCATCAAATTATCTCCAACTTCTCCTTCAAGATGTCTGATGTTACCATTTCGATCAACAAATCGAACATTTACTCTAAAATTAAACATTAAAATACATAATATATTTAGAGTTACGTTTTGGAAGCAGGGGTGGAGTTTTCATCAAACTTTCTTATTGAGTCTATTAAACCTATAAAATGAAAAGCTTCTTACGGTTCAGAATTAAAGGTTTGAGATAACGTCTGAATGAATTCAAATGATGGAAGAACTGTACATTACGCAAAACATGGGACATTTTAATCACACTGACAGAAACTGGACGACTGATGCAGCCAACTTTCTACAAAATCTTTTCCAATGATAGCGAAAATTGTGCTAATTTGTTGAGGCTGAAATTACTAGAAAAATGAAATTGAAAGTTACGGCACATCCATATTTATCAAAGCAAACTTAGGAAAACAGTGTAACAATGAGAATAGGCTAACGCTTAGTAAACCTATAACAAAATTGATAACCTGGTGGTTTATAAAGCGCTTCCCAGTTGCGTTAAATAAAATAAAGAACTTTCTTGTAAAAAGTAATTATAAGTAACCTTACAAAATGTGCCTTTTCTTTGTAAAAGATCGATGGGAAGAAATATAACAGATCAAGTCTACATGAATAGTTTGTCAACTACATAATTATGTAAGGGCTCTACAAAACCTGGTTCCCAAACCAGAATAACTACACGAATCGGACTATGGACCAATAAAACGGTCAGAATGAATCGAGAGAATAGACAAAAACGAAAATAATAAGATTTATAATACCTAAAAATGTGTGAAAAAACATGTACAAATGTGGCTGGTTCCTGGACATTATCAGTAACTCAAACTTGATGAGAAAAGTTAGGCTTAAAAAACGGAAAACGACTTGATGGACAGGCAAAATACTTTGTCTTGTGTCTACGAAACATTATTTATACCACTCTAGCCAATAAAAGCGATGTGATGAAGAAAAGCACATACTTCTTACATAGTGTGTGTGACCATGCAGCAGTCGTGGGATTGTTTGAGCAATTGTTATCATGTAGAGATTGCCTGTGTGAGGCCAGTGACACAACTGCTATTCTATTATTAAGAACCCAATAACAATTAGATAATGGCTGAGATTAATATCTAACGACTATTGGTTCAGGATCCCAGTCTCTTACGTTAGTTGGCTAGCCCGACAGCCGAGACAGAACAACACAGGACGGATTCTATTTGTGCATTTCCGCTTCATAAAACGACTCACATGACATTATACAATCGGTTTATGGTCACATAATCGGAAAATTAAGGAATTACAATATAGGCAATACCACGTCATACGTGGAAGGAAAATAATTGACGAGTTGGTGATTATTTAACACTAACTTCGGAAAGGCGAAGTACACACATTTGTAAGCTCAAAAAAGCTTATTTCTATGATTTCCTTGTATTATAGTTGGGATCAGTTCATCATATGATCACTAACTTCTAACTATAACTTCAGATTTTAATATCCAACCCTATTAGGACTTTAGAAGCAGAAAAAATCAGTTCATTGAAAGATGAAAAAGGATTCCTAATTTGCTAATTATACACTTAAATGCTGCCTATGTTGCAGAACTCAGTTTATAACATACTCTTCAAAAACCGTGACAAAGTAACGCACAAATTTAGGCTATGAGCATTTATATCTTATATCCAATATCTTTATCGCAAGCATGTGTAAACCGATTGATTTAATTCAGCTCTCTTCTTCTTAATTTAGTATGGCCTCAGATATTTTTTAATGTCTACTGGATGCCATTATAGCATCTTGACTGCATTAACTCCATTCCTTTACGTGGTTACTTGTGGATTTGTAAATTTTGTAGTTGAGTGCGAGCGTTTTTCTCAGGGCAGTACGGTTTCCAGATACCAGCAGCTGTCACATTACCAGGTAGAACGTTAGTTGATTGCAATGTGAAAATAATAAAGTGATAATTCATTGGCTAATAGAAGACCATTGAATAATGGATAGATAAAACGTTGATTAATTGGTAGTCGTGTAGTGGTAAATAAATCCCCAAAATAAATAGCCCTGCAAGTTTTCGACATTGGATGCCAAACATATCATTTTTAATGGACTCGCCTAGCTAAAAGCGCTCTGTCATGCACCCATGCATCCCACGAGTGGGAACGTCTTGTTCAACATCCCTTGCAATCTTCAGCCAGTATAGATCAATTGATCCTCGATATTAATAACCTATTAAATACATCTTCAAAAGCTTCTGTCTTTTATTTCATTTGGTAGGTACGATTCATATTAGGTGTCACTGGTTAAGGTGTTGTCAAACTCCGAATACCTGTGGCATTTTCAATCCAGATGCAGTTTTATTTGGAAGGTACAGGAGGTTGAATGTTCTGTGTTATACCTAGTAATGGTGATCTCTCAGTTGATCTAATTTTCTTTTGAATGCGTAGATAGATGGAGCTTCAATCCCGTGTTTAGATGATGAATTCCAACGGTTGGTGACTCGATAGGAAAGTCGATATTTAGCTGTCTAGTTTAATTAAGATACGTGATATCGCCCAGTCGAAATTAAAACAACGTTAATGAGTGAATGCGGGTCCTAAATTTCATTATAAACTTAAGTGTACACTATAACTGAGAAAAATACTATTGCCCTGTTATTCAACCAATAATCGTTCAGATAGTAGTCAAATCTAAGTTACACTACATAGTTAAACTGATAGAAGATATATGATAATTACCAAGTGCAAAAACAAAATGTTCCTACTGTAGGGCCAGCGAAATGTCACTAAGCCCTAGCCAAGTCATCCGGCAGTTGGGTCATTGAATATCGAGCAAATTATCGATCCTCGTCAAGGTCAGGGGCAACCAACGCCCACCAGTTAATCGTATACCATGGACTGGCCCATGCTGCAGTGGTCTTACTTTCGATTGTATCTACTTTAACTAATATATTTCTGTAATATCGTACAGTCTTCAAAGCGTCTATGGTACCTTGATGCGTCAATGGGGTAGTCCACGTAAGGTACTGACCATGAGGTGTGACTTTGACGTTAGCTGGTTTGTCACACTATTCACGTCTAACTCGAGTAGGCCTCCAATCACTTTCGATATAGATCATCTACGTTGGTGATCTACACCACCAACATAGAAATGTTACTCCATACTTTCTAGACAGATTGTTTGCAAGATAACATTTAAATTCGTTAATTTCGTGTTTTCGATTCTCGAAAATTGCTCTGATTCATAACTCTAGTCGATTCAAGTTGCATAATCAAAAAGAGGAGCGAATCAATGTGGCAGCCGCCATAACCAACTATCGACTAGAAAAATATAGATATAGTTCAGAAAAAACAGGTAAATGCAGTGAATAATAATAATATATTTCTTCATGATCAGGTATACGCCAATTTTTACAGGCATGATATATAAATTACAACATTTGTTGGCACACAGCATGCTTCGCAACTTATTAAGTTTATAGTTGTTATGAAGTAGACTCGTAGAGCGCTTGCTGTAAACTATGACCTTGAGGAGACGCGTACGTCAAGTTTGTTCCAGACGTCAGAAGTTCCATAGCTGTGCGCTCAAAGCAAGATTCTGAAGAAAAGAAAAGAGAAACAGAAGAGCAGCAAGGCGCTTGGATATGAACGCCAAACGTTGCTTAACATTGTGTAGTAGAGCATACAGAGGTGTAATAAATTAGAATAAATTCATATTATTTCTTGTTAGAATGAAATGAAGTTAGAGGCTCCATATAAGAGAATGTGATCATAAAGAACAATGAGCTGTGTTGTTTAACACGTTGGAGTAAGCTCACATGAAGGAAGAGAAGTCAAGGTTGGTACAAGGAAAGCGGTTTATTAGAAGGGAGTGTGCGTATAGAAGGTGAAGTGTTAAGTATACTAATAACTATATCTTTTACTGTCTAATTTCCTCTTTCTTTTTTATTTTGTCCATCCGATGCCAGCCACACAATCCTAGTGTAAAAGTCCGAGTTTGCATGTTATAGGTTGTCTTGGTAGAATAGCTAATCCAGCATAAAATTGGAAACATGAGTCTGAGTGGTAGGCGTTGGAACACAATCTATATCACAGATTGATTGACTTATTCTCAGTCATAAAGAGCCTGATACATACAAAATGTTCTGCTCCATAAACACGGGTGGACTGAAGTAATCGCCCTCACCATCAATGCTTGCTGGTCAGTAACTCCACTCTCTCCCTTTTTGTGATGTCAGGCTCATTTTATCTTATTTTTGGATATGTCATACCTCACACAATCCTCTGTGTTTCACATCCTGTTGGAAAACACTATTTCTTTAAGTACCACTTTACAAGCATATCAGGCAGTTACAAGTTATGGACTTCGGGTAAGGCATCGATGTAGTGCTTTAATTGACTATAGTATAAAGTATAAGTTGCCAGTTGGAGTATAGGCATTCAGAAGGGTATAATATAGGATAGTTGTTTATTAAAGCAAGCGGAAGAGTATAGAAGTGTATGAGTTGTAGATAAGGTAACGAGTGGAGAAATAATATTAATTGCTAGTCAACATAGTGTACAGATGAGTAAAAAGCTAATAAAGAATAAACAGGAAGAAACTCACATTAACTTGGTTCTGATGTTATTTTGTGTTGTCCTAACTAGCTGATGGGTAACAGGCTCCATAGATGCAAGACCACTGGTAGTAGGCAGTCGATTGTGCGGTTCTCTTGATTTTTATGGTGGTAGTGAGAGTCCCTTAGCGACCGAGTTTAGTTGAACAATATCGATAAGTTCAGTGAGTTACCTGTCTACTTCAAGTGAAGGAATAGGGTGGAAAAAGTAACTAATACAACTGCAAAGTAGGAAAAACAAGGCAGACTGAACTTGAAGTCCATTTTGGTCCAGACATGTAGAGAGCCTATGATGTCTGAGTGGGGAGCAGATTTGTTCGTACGTGCTAGATCAGTGCAAGTGAGAGCTTGATCAAGCAGTTTTACAAACCTATGTAATTCATCTGTCATGCGTATTTCGGAGGGAAGACGGTTCCATATTATTGCATACTTGATGAGGAAGAAGTTTTCCCGAGTTTTCGATCTGTATTTCTCAACTGTGACGGTAGATACTTTGTTCCGAAGTTCGTATTCATGTGAATCTCTAGCAAGAACCATTTTATATGTTGAATAAGTAAGGTTTTTGAGTAGTTTAAAGTAGAGAATCAAATTAGACCTGAGCCTTCTCTCCCAAAGGGGTGATATTCCTAAGATTTGGCATCGGGGACTATAGTCAATGACTGAGTCAGTCTTAAGTATTTTGCGGGTGAAGTATCGTTGTATTCCTTCCACCTTTAGTATATCATATAGACGTAGGTTGGAAAATAAGAACGTGCATTGTTCGACGATAGGTCTTACAGAAACTTTGTAAAGAAGGATTTCGGAATCATGGGGAACTAGAACAACAGTACATAAATAATAACTTTTCAAGCAGAATCGAAAGATCAACGAAATGTGTATCTAAAGAAATCAAAAAGTACAAAACATAACATTTTGTACGTGGAGAGATTTCCATGCCGAAAACTTTCAAAACAGTACCTGTTTTATGATGATCTGAAAGATTTTGGAGGTCGTTGGTCGACTAAAAGAGCGAATCCTTAGCCTTCTACTGAGTTCCGAAGCTGCTGTACCGCCAGTTGTTGTAAGACTCTACAAATAGTCAATTCAGATTAGTTATTAGTGGGGCTAATGAGTGTTTTGATGTACTTGCTTGGGAGGAGAGCTGATTTTGCATTGAATCCTTTAACTGCAGATAGTGCTTTTTTGTGTTGTCGTCGATATTGTTAGTTTTCGCATCTTCAGGAATTTGATCAGTTAAATGTCACATGAGAGACGCGCAATTCGGTATGAACGATCAACAAAAGCTTACCAGACCGCCGAACTTGCATAATTTCCTGACTGCGGTCGGTTCTGGGTTATCCAGAATGACTGTCACACTGTCTTGCAGAAGGCGTATGTCTTCATCCATGGCATGCTTAAGAAAGTTCGAGGGGTCCGTTCTGGTTTGACATTTGTGTTTGTTTACTTGAATGACGTGTTTTTACAGTCATTTGAAAACAAGATCCAGATGTTAGGGATGGGATTCTTGATCCTGACTTACGAGTGAACAGTCATTAATGTAAGCATGCACTAAGTTAAACCCCTGAATACGTACATCATCAGTTAATTTCTGAAAAGTCTGTGCGCTATTTTTAAGCCGATAGGTAAGCGCTAGAAAGTTTTTGTAGTCCGGAGGGAGTGATGATAGTC